GTCCTACCGCCCTTTCTCCCTCTTACTGGCAAGGCCTGCACAAAGTCCACAGAGCTGACTGGCTGCTAGGACTGAGCTCTTTGTGAGAGGCCTTCCTTTCTGGGGCTGTGCTGCCATCTAGTGGCAGACATGTGCAAGGGTGGGGGAGGAATTGCCGAGAATGTAGAGGGGCCTGAATGACTTCACCTTTGAACCGCTGCCAGATTTCAGCTGCTTCTGGTTTGGTCCGAGAGGCCCAGAAAGGTGCTTTCTACTGGGAGATCTGCTTCCTTTAATAATGGTACAAGATGAGAGGTTTATATTCACATTCCCCTGGGAGAAGAAAGAGCTGGAATTTCAAGACATCTCAGAAGACACGGGTTATTTAGTAGCCTTATCAGGGATTTTGTTTTGCCCCAACACTGTAAAAAGCCAAGGCAGTCTTTAGATTTTGTAAAGAAAAAAATTGTTCGAGTTGGCAACCAGTTTGTTTTTCTCCCGGGAGACCAGGAAAACTAATCTTCCATGTGGTTCATTTGTTTCAATGTGATGGTAGACTGAGGTGTTCTTTAAGACACCCCCATTTTTCCAGGACCAACCAGGCTAATTTATATTGCTCCAAACAAGTATGCCTTTTCCATTCCCTGTCTGTGGATCCCAGAAGTCAGGGTCTTGAGGAGTCATCATATTTTACAACTGGGAAAGCTGAGCCCCGGGAAGGGAGTGAGCCCAGGCCCACAGCCAGTCAATGCTGCAGGAGCAAGACAGGGCCCCATGGCTGGCGTAGCAGATGGAAGAGAGCCCGCTCAGTGTTCTTAGGGAATGGGAGAGCAGGGTACATGACAAGCTGGGTTCTACCTCTCCTGCTTCTGAAAATGATCAATTGATAGGCCCATTTTTCCTACAGTTACACATTTTTAAGGTGTTCTTTTTGGCCTGTTGCCCTTTGAACACAATTCCCCAAAAGCATCTCAATAAAGGAGAAAAGCAAGGTTTTTGTGTTTTGTTTTGTTTTGTTTTTTCCAAGGTTGGCTACTGGCAAAAGGCCCAAAAGAGACAAGGTTGTATTTTCCCTCCTCAGCATTTGCACTAAGAGGTCCTGTCACTCTTGACAAGTACCTCTACCTTACCCTGAACCACCTCCAGGTGCACAGTGGGGTTGCTCATGACTCTCCTGGTCCTTCAGTCTTGATGGCAAAAGGCTATGAAACATTTTAGGTGGAAGGGTGCCCTGTGGCTGAGTGTCATTGCCCCAAGATTTCTGCATTATGTGTTGAGGGGAAAGTTTTAGCAGAGAGAAAAATAGCACTTTTTGGCACCAACTATAAGCAAGCTAATTGGTTGCCAAGGATTTGGGCCAAGGAACCTTATTTTGAGTTTTATCTGTGTGCATCATTTTTCCATGAGGATTAAAGAGACTTCACCCAGTGATGGAGACATATATAATAAATTACTCCCAAAGGGCCATAATGACCTTGGCAGCATCGTGCTGTAGGTTCAACGTTCTGGGGGACCAGGCAACAGCATTGCATGGAAGTCAGAGTTGGGTGGGGATGGGGGAGCTGGGGAGGGAAAAAATAGAAGAAAGTAGAATCTTGGCAGCCACTACCTGAGCGCTCATTATTTTCAGCGGAGCCTGACATTTGGAGCATAAGAAGAGCCGTCAGCAACTTCAAAGCTTGAGGAGCACTTTGACCAATGGGGGGCCTTACAATCCAACAGCGTCCTAATCATGAAAACCGTCTGGATCCCAGTCCCCCAGTTCCCCACAATACCAGGTCGGCCTGTGGGTTTTATACTCTTCTCTCCTCCCTTCCCCACCAGGAGTGGGAGCTGGTGGTGCTGGGGAAATTGAAGTGGAACCTGGCGGCCGTCACTCCTCATGACTTCATCGAGCCCATCCTCCGCAGGCTGCCCCAGCCCAGTGAGAAGGTGTCTGTGGTCCGCAAGCACGCACAGACCTTCATTGCTCTGTGCGCCACCGGTATGAGCAGGCTGGGGTGGGCGGGTACTGAAGAGTCCAGTTAGCCCTTTGGGGGGTGGTCAAGGGGAGGCAGACTGAGTTTGGGGCTTAGGGGAGGGATGGTCTCCAGTAATACAGAGTCCAAGGTTTCATTCCTGGACTGTTTTTCCTTTATGTAAACTGGCATATTCTGTTTTTCTACTAAACCCATAAATGGTTTATGAGGACAGGTGTGGTAAGGAAAAAAAAGTAGTGCCTGTTAAAAAAATTCTTTATGATGTCTAAAGTGCTCTTTGCAGATTATATATACCGTCCTCTGGTTGTGTTTAAATCTTTAATCTTTTGAGGAAAAGGATGGCTTGGAGATAAGCCCAAGAGGAAATTTGGGGGTGGGAGCAAATACAGGTGAAAGGAACACTGTCAAGATAAATACACTGTCTGCCCTGATAAGTGGTGAGGGAGGCCAAAGGAATTCTTCTTACTGTAGGGCATTTGTTCCCTCCTGGCTGTTCCCCTCTGCTGGGTTGGGGGAGTGAACCTGGTTGGCTTTCAGCAGGGACTCACTTTTCCTGCTGGGTTCTGATGCCCTTGTCCGTGTGCTGCTGTTTTGACTTCGCCTGCAGCCTTAATATAGCAACGGCAACTGGCTTTTTCATGGTAAAATCTTTCCACTCACCATGTTGGTCCCACAATTGATACATAGTTCTCGTGGGCCCGTTTGTATTGCATTTTCCCAATAAACTAAAGGCAGTGTGGTTTGATCCTGTCTCACTAAACTGAACCTTGGCCAGTCTACCATTTTCTTCCTGGTAGTGGCCATGGGAGAGAACCTGGAACCTTAATTGTGCAGGGGAAAGGTGTCAGGAATTCATATTTTCACAGCCAGAAATGTTAGGTAAAGACCTTTTGCTGGGAGGGGAGTTTAGCTCACGTTGGCCAAGAGGTGGGACTCGGGGATGGGGGGGGGGG